GTTATAAGGATTTAATTATGTAGTATTTGCAACATGACAGTAATTACAAGTATATTGATTAGGATGAATAGAAATATGGTTTTTAATTATTTATTACATAATGCACCAAATTATTACACCATCAAATTTTGTAACAATTGCCGCAAAATGTAATAACGTTATTACATAACGCGTTGAAGATTTTATTACATTTTGTGTCAATTATTACATAATGCGGTTTTAGCGTGAGTTTATTACATTTTGAAGCCTGATTTTATTACATTATTACATGATGTATTGTTATTACAAAATGAGGTCTTACAAGCCTTTTAAAATAATTATAAGCCTTATAAACCAACATAACACAAATAAGCAATTATAAACATAGCTATAGTATAGTAAGCCTGTTGATGAGGGAAGTAAGTCTAAAAGTTAAAATTAACCAAAAGTCAGATGCACTGAAACWATTTTTTTCTTAGATGACACATCTTTTAAAAGAATAGAACAGTCCCTGTCTACATTACTACAGATACTGTGGGCTGGAAAAAGCTTTTTCTCCTATTTGAAATCTTAGTTTTTTGTTCTTGCAAAATAGATTTAGTATAAAATATGTCTAAAAAGTATCCAAAATCGCGTAGATAGTTTATCTGTGTTTAATCACTTAGAGATGTTTCTTAAAATAAATCAGTCACTTTAATTTAACAGTTTTTTTTCCTTAGGCTAAAAAGTGCTAAAAGAAAAGGACACTAAGTTGAGTCACTAATAAGGAAAACATTCTCTTTTTCTATGTGGAGGTAAAATCAAGTACGGAATAAAGAGAAGACGAAGAGGACTTGGACTTCATCTGTAAGTTGCTCTGATATCAAAAGACCAAACATTTTTTTCATTCCAGGTGAACTAAAAGTACTCTGGACAAAAACAGTAATGAAAAAAAAAATGCAAACAACCAGCAGCTTGTGTCTTTATGGATCTCACCTCCTTGAWCCTAAATATTTATTTGTTTACAGTCTTACAGATTCACATTTATATTTCTATTTCCATTTAACCACATTTGAGCCTTCTCTGATTCAAATATATTTATTCTACACTTACACCAGATCAATCATGCATCTTGGGCTTCCATAAATGGATTTAGCTGAGGGCTTTGTTTACTTTGAATAAGGACCTGCATTTAGGCTTGCACCCAGTATGTCTGAAAA